TCTGTAAACAATCAATTATCTGTTCCAACTCTTACTATCGCAGTGTTGTTGCTCTAAGAATAATAAAAAACACAGGAACCTTTTTGTTTGATGTACTAGTAAATTATGTTAATTTCTAAAAACCTTTTTTTGATGATTAAGTCAATAGTTTGTTTATCGCATGCACTACAGCAATAGCACTGTGCAATAATTTTCTTTAGCATGTGGTACAATCCTACTTCGCAAATTTTCACTAACTTTTTAGGAGCTCTTGCCTACAGTAACTTAGGTTGGCTTACCAATAGTTGCCGTGAAAATGTTATAATTGAGTTTAGCGAGTCAAATAACCTAGTTATAAGTTTGCATATAACCACTCCATCGCTCAATGTCGGGAGCACGGTGTGAAGTAACAAATATCCAAAAATGCATGCTGTTGTGATTGATTCAACAGTATGGAATGCTAGTTTTTATTTCAACCAAAAAGTCGATTCAATCTTTTATTGGAAAACTTAATTTTTGCACATCTTATAGGAATTTGTCCATAGGGACGTCGTAGGTTAGAATGCTCTACTACATTTTACTTCTTCTTCGCTCCTCCTAACAATCCAGTCAATCCACCTATTATCGCTCCTGTTACAGCTCCGGTTAGTGGATCTGGAATGACACCTTTACTCCCCATATATTTTACAAATACTTTTAAAGCTTACCAACTCCTGCAATTCCAAAAGGTCCTACGGGACCGCCGCCGTATACAAAACCATTATATCCATAAGGGTATCCGGGATATATTGGATAACATGGATATGTGCCAGGTGGGCAAACACAATATGGCGTAACTTCAGCAGTTGTTATAGTAAATATCAACAGTAAGGCTTGAAATTGCTTCATGTTGGTCGTTAATATCTCTAGGCCAAGACTGAAATCATGGATATATAGAGACTGTGGTGAACAAAAGTATAAAACACTGATATTTACATAATCGCATGACAGGTTTTATGGACACCGAATGACATTGGATGCTGAATTTTTCCTAGTTGTTTATTGATCTGGTTGACTGCAGTCTATATCTCGTGTTCCCAATTTGAAAGAGTAATTGAAAAGGTTATATCTCGAAAAGTCAAACACTAAGATACTCAAGTAACTCAACAAATATTCGATAAGCATTTTAATCAGCTGGCTATGCTATGCAGTTTCCACTCGTCCGAGTTTTCTTTAATCATCTATCAAGCTTTAAAACTTGTATTAGAGTGGTTAGCGTCAAACTCCCATACAAAACATGCATAGCCGTTATTGCAAAAATGCAGCTTTGTTTAGTTAAACACTAATACCCAATTTTCAAACATTAACAAGAAATTTCTGAATGCATCAAAAATTTCTACCAATTTCCTATTCTACTTTCCTTATCATTGAATGACAAGATTCACTCAGCAATGTTGCATGTCACAGTAGCCTATGCTTTGATACATTTGCTTACTTGTGGCCTTCTACGCCCGCTTCGTGATAAAGAGAAATCATCTACAACAATTAGATTCCAAGTCTTTCATAAAATTATAATTTATCTTTAAGAAATGCCCATTCGAAATTCGATGAAGCTTTTTCGCAGACTAGTTACTTCTGCTCTGTTTCTGTTTAGTCATTGAGCAGTGGCTGTTACTATCTATTTTTCTACTATCTTTCATCGGCACATTTCATTAAAATGTAAAAGCAGTACTTTGTTTCTGTGATTGCTGCTAATCAGTTCGAGCTTAATAAATTGCTTTCCCCACTCAC